AAATATTCTGTAACTTACCCCAATTTATATCTAGATTCTCTTGAAAAATGCTACATATAATCTCGATTTTGCAACTTGTGACATTCCCACACGGGAATTCCATAGTTAGGTGGTTTTCAATATCTTGGTGCGGCATTGCAATGCATCTGGCCACGGTGATCATGCTTCCGACTACTACATTTCCTAAACATGAGAATAGATACTGGTGACATTTAATCTTATCATCTCGAGAGAACCTGTTCCTCAAAGAAAAATACCGGATATTCATTAATATAGCTGCACTTGTCTAGTTCAGTAAAGCTTTTTAATTTCAGAAGGTTATACTGCTGGCAATAAGTGTGTAACACAATATCAATCCAAGTTGAGAGAGTTTGATTATTATTTTGTTCGTATTACTGGTCAATCTTTGTAAGGAAGTACGAATAATAACACAAACGAGACTGTTTGAAAAATAAATGGAAAATACATAAATTATTGCAAGTTAAGGAAGAAAACCATCTCATCTGTGGAATTGAACAACAGTTGCACCATTGGGGAGGGGTACAACACCAGGTTTTGAGATCCTTAACAATGAATGAACTAGCTTACTTACAAAGGTTTGGAAGACGCCAAAGTGGGCTATGCCAACGGATTGAAAGAGATTGGGGCTGCGGATTACAAGAAAGTTTGTACGGGGCCGAACAACTTTGTTGAAGCGTTGCAAGTTTCATATGAACCTTTGCAAGTATCCTTGGGCGAGATCCTTGATATCTTTTTCCCGATCCATAATCCCACAACTTTCAATCTGCAAGGTCCAGATGTGGGCACGCAGTAGAGAACGCCATTTTGGTTCACAAAAAGAGGATTTGGCCGAGGCACAAAAGTCCAAAGAGTATTACCAAAAAGAATGGTACCCAAACGATAAAATTGCCACCACTATTGAGCCCCTCGAAGTCTTGTACGATGCAGAGGATTACCACCAAAAGTAATTGGACAGAAACCCTGGCGGTTACGAGAGTCCAACACACTTTTTGAGAACTAAGGCCAAAGAGTAGAATAAGAAAGACGCGAAGCCTCATTTCAAAAGGTCGAGAGTAATAGGAGATTATTTAAATTCTTTCGAGCTTGGATTTGAGACGAAAGTGATGTAGCTTTGATTGGTCCTCTGAATACTAGTATCTTCTGTGAATATGATGAACGACGTCTTCAAGATTACCGTTCTGATTAAAACTTGCATTCAGACACACAAAGTCAAGGTTTGCCATCACCCAGTTAGATTGGCACCCGGCTTCTAGGTACTAAACCATTTGTCGATTTCTCTAATGAGAAGGTGGAGGAAATTATTTGAAAGGAAAGGGTAAAAAGTATTTTCTTTCAATAAATGCTGTGAACAGCACATCTTCCATAAGGGTCACGTATCCGGAAACCCCGTTTTTTCTATTCTTTTCTTATTTGAGATATTAAAATGCATCTAGAGCATCATTATTATATTTCTTAATAGCTTCATGTTATGTTTTGAATACAAGTGGATGTGTATATTCAAGTACAAAATTCTTAGTTCCTAGCTTCCAACTACAACAGAAAGCCAGGTTTTTTATAGACATAGTAAATAAGGGTACGTGTCTTATCTCATACGGCAGATTTTACCAGTAAACCAAGCCAGGCATTGTGGCTTATCTGGATGTTACAGTAGCCGGGAACTGGGATACCCCCAGGTTCTCCCGGTCGAACTAACACTTCAGCAATAACATTATTAGCATCATATTTTATACATGCATTATCAGGTATAACTAATTCATCAGATAATGTTGTATGTGTTCAAATAGTAATGCTTATGATTATTTTGATATATTATCAATCGCATTATAATTTACGGCACCTTACATCGTTGAAGTATTGCTGTATGGAATTAAGCACATATGCGTAGTAGCTAAATATTATTAGCTTCAACAATGCTTATTAATCCTAATTTATTTAATCATCATATTAATAAAAATCCCTATATTTATTATTTTTTGGCTTGCAATTTGAGTTAGAATAAAAGTGCTGATGTCAGGACTGATACATTTTAACTTCTTTACATCTTGGAATCATATTTAACCTTGATAGATTCAAGTAGGCCACAAAGTATGCAAGAGAGGGCGGTGTGGAAAAGACCAAAGGATATTGAAATCACCCAATATACACTAAAAGAATTTAAAATATCAATATTGAAGCACGTTGCATTTCTGACTTGATACTCATATATATGGGATTTTTTTCATCCCATGAATACCTCAAAACACGATGCAGAAGTTTTACGTATAAAACTACATTTCTTGTCTATCACAGATTATGTAACTTTTTTATCCAGTGAAAGCAAACAATGAATCACTTCCATCAGTTTGATATGGAATTCGATATTGTATTATTTAAATTACTAAATTTTCTTCGATAATTTATTTTACTTTGAAGTAGATTGGAATCTAACGTGTTCTTTAAAGATTTATTCTCTAGTTCGACATACTTATCTGTCAACGAATGTGAACTTCAACAAACGGTATAAAAACATGAAGTATGTTTATTCTTTTATGTTTAAAAAGCATTCTCACCATACTACCGTTCAAATCAGTAATGTACTTTGATACACCCGTGCTTTCAAGGATATTAAGATTCAATACTCACATGCCATTAAAAGGAACAGAATAAATAAATCGTGACTGATAACATATCTTTCTTGCTAAGCATGTGTAGATAGACCATTCAGAGCCAGATGAAACAACATCTCACATTGTGGGCCTCTCAAATCAGTATTCTTGAATTGAGGAGTGGCGGGGAGACAAAAAAAATAATAACCTGGCTTCTCAGTTGTCTTTCTGAACCAGCAACTGACTCTCCGTTACTAGTTGTAATATGAACCTGAAAATATGTTTGTTTTAAAGTTATTAAACACGATCAGTGTAAGCTTCGTTATATCCCTACAAAATAACTTTTATGTAACGAATCTACTTCCAACAAAGCTTTTTTCTCAAACACAGCTTAGAACAGTAACCTAAATGAGTAGTACCTCGACCCTTCATCTACCCGAAGAAATGTGATAGTGTAAGTCGCTTTAAGGTCACGTCGTCGGTTATATCTAAATCACGCCAAGGTCTCTGTTGTGGTTGTTCCGAATCGATGTTGCCTCACAGCCATTGACACTTATACAAGGGGTTCAGCCGTGAAACCAGTCTGCAACAAAAATTTTATATTTACAGTTTATTGTTGTAAAATATCCAAGGACCCAAACGTTGAATCGCAATGAGAGACGCCGCCACCTCCATTATCAGTAGTAAGATCTGGAGGATATGACTCGTCGTCAAAAACGCTTCGAATCCCATAGGTCCCTTTCTTGAACGCAATTCCATGGATAAGCAATTCCTCCAAGTTGGCAAAGTTCGTGAAGAAAAAGTCAACGAAGGGTCCAAGTTGATGAATTAGATACGTTATCACAAGTTTTTCCATTCCTTTTATTGCACCTGGAATTTCTTCATGTTCTTCGAATAAAACTTTGCAAAGTGCATCTTTAGTTCCATCATAAAGGCAAGACCCCAGCAAACGACTCTCTGAATCTATCACAAAAATATGACGTCTTTCTTGAAGATGTTCGAGGATCAAACCAATCACTAAGTAATAGAGAGTTCCTTCCGTTACATCATCGAGAGTATCTGTAAAGAATGACAGAACTTGCGACTTCACATGGCTCAAGAAGTTAGCACAACCGAGACACTTGCATGTATGTAGGAGGGATTCATGAAATAACGGTTTGTAGAATATGAAAGATGTCAAGAAATCTGGTAGTTTCAAGGTTTTCAAAGTCAGGTGGATAGCTGGCTTGTTGTTTGAAGGGAAAAAGAAAGCTTCTATAAGTCGTTGGTTTAACTTATTGAGAGTGTTGGGAGACATTCCACTGCCGGAATACATTTTCATAGTCTGAGAAGCCATATTCATGTCAAAGTGCTCCAAATGGACAAAGCTGCGGATGAAATTCCTGATTGGAACCAAAACTGTGGTCAAAAAGTCTCTAGGATGTAGCCATTCCTCACTAGATGATAATTTTATCCGAAGCATATTGAGACGAGGTAATCCATCGTGTGCAACTGAGAAGCGTTCAAAATCATTGAAAAATTTCGGGAAGCAAGCACATTTATTCTCTTCGTCGCTTTGACAGTCCACTTGCAAATCCAATTTCTCAAGTTTAGTTAAATCGACTTTGCTTTCGATGGAATCAAAACGTAAATGTGAGGAAGAACTCTCGGAATATGAAAAATGCTTTACTGAGAGCTTTACTGGTTCCAATTTAACATGAGAGTTAAGTCGAATAGACTCAAGAATATCCAAGCCCGTATTATTCGGTGTATCACACGAAATGCTTTTTAACTCGTAAAATCCTTCTAATCTTTTTGAGGATAGGTCTAAGTTACACACTTCTGTAACGTTTATATTCAAATGCTCTGGATGGGCTAAGCAAAGAATATTCTCTAGTTCAGATTTGCTTTTAATATCAGAAAGTGTGTCCTCAGTTCTTTCAAAGATATCTTCTGGATGACAAATGCTAAAACGTCCTGGTTGGCTTGATTTTGGAACAGCGGAAATCAACTCCTGAATCAATGGGATTTCATCACTAGGGTACTTGATTTTTTTAATCTTGAGCCCTATCGTCCTATTATGCTTGATGGAACTAATGAGCATTCTCAACTTATCTTCGCTGAAGACATGAGTTGGACCACGGTTGATGTTAACATGGTGAGCGTAGAACTTACTTGGATCGGCACCATTCTCAAGAGGATAAGTGCAATCAACCGAAATCAAAATGTTTCGATATAGTTCGTCTGTAGCAAACTGATTCAAAAACTTGCAGGTCTGTGCCAAGTTACATAGAGTCGATTGATCCAAGCGCTTTACGATGCGAGCGATGATATCTGGGGGAAAGTGCTGGAGGGAAGTGGGGTTGAAGCACATCATGGGGAAAAGAGTTCATAATCAGAAAATAAATGGAACTTCATCTGATATGGTGATCCTGCGTGTCATTATGCATCTATATGAAAAATAGGAGTACTTTGAGACCGGATTAACCCCACATACTCCTATACATGAATCGCACCCTTGTAAAGTGGATGATTTACCTCTCGCATATGGATGTACATTAGTTTACACGCATGACCTCTATACAATAATCGTATATGCTCTTTTACCTCGAAGGAAGCTTTTATTGTTCGTTCGCATATAATCAAATAATGAATTCGGCCTTGTGCATTAAACAAAAGTGGCCAATCCTCAACGAACTCATCTCGTACTGAAGCCCCATTTGCTATCATCTAACGCAAGAAATCCAATCTGCTCGGAAAAAACTATATTGCTACAAAACACTCTTCTGCAGGAGATTACTAATTTGCAAGTAATTGCTTCGCTTGAAGTAACGATGCTTCTAACCAACCAAGCCTATTTTTCAATAATTAGATAATGGTTATTAAATCGGTTCTGCTGGATAGTTAAATACCTGGTACCACGAATTCATCCACTACGTATCAGTGAGTACGAAGAAGCAACTTTACTTGTTAATAAATATATCTAGCAGATTATAATCTGCTTCCCAAGTTCACATGAACAGCTTTGGCTTCAGTGTACACGGTAAGTCCGTACTCGCCCAACTCTCTGCCAATTCCACTCATCTTAACACCACCAAAAGGAATGTGCACGTCGGAGTCGTTCGAAGAATTGATCCAGATTTGACCTGACTCGAGATCCTGAGCCATGGTGTGAGCCACAGTGATGTCTTGAGTGAAAATAGCAGCGCCCAAACCATATTCAGTATCGTTAGCAAGCTCAATGGCCTCTTCGTCTGTCGAGAACTTGGCGACACACACAACAGGTCCAAAGATCTCCTCTTTGACAATTCTGTAGTGAGGCTTTACATCGGCAAAAATGGTAGGCTTCACGTAGTATCCCTTAGCGAAGTCACCTTCGAGATGAGCCTCGCCGCCCAAAACGACTCTAGCGCCTTCCTTCTTTCCGAGCTCAATGTATGACAAGATCTTCTCCTGGTGCACCTTGGACACCTGAGGTCCAACAACAGCATGGGTAGTGAACATGTCACCCTGAGGATATTCTTCAGTGACGTGGGCAGCAAAGTCGGTCAAAAACTTCTCATAGACAGATTCGTGTACGTAGATTCTCGACGTAGAAGTACAGATTTGCCCTTGGTTGGACATAATTCCAACAGCTGCCCACTTGACAGCCTGCTCCAAGTCGGCATCTGCTCTGATGATGAAAGGTGACTTTCCTCCACATTCTAATGTCACAGCCTTCAAGTTAGAAGTAGCCAATTGCTGGATAATTTTGCCTGTGGCTGTCGAACCAGTAAAGGCAATTTTCCTCACATCCTTGTGCGAGGCCAAAGCCTTACCAGCAGTAGCACCGTATCCAGAGATAACATTCACCACACCAGGTGGGAATCCGGCCTTCTTGAACAAAGTAGCAAAGTACAAGATGGACAATGGAGTCACTTCAGAGGTTTTCATGACAACAGTATTTCCGGCAGCAAGAGCTGGAGCAAACTTCCATGCAGCCATAAGCATAGGGTAGTTCCATGGGATGATTTGGCCACAGACTCCGTATGGCTCGTGGACAGTGTAAGCAAGCTTTTTTGGGTCATTGTAAATAACTCTGCCTTGGATCTTGTCGGCCCAACCTGCGTAATATCTGAAGACGTTGATGGTTTCAACAACGTCACCATTGGCATTCAAAACCTTTGTTTTACCAGAATCCCAAGCCTCAAGCGAAGTAAGAAGCTCAAGTTCTTCTGGGTCTTCCATTAAGTCGGCAAGTTTGTTCAAAAGACGGCCTCTCTCAACACCGGTGGTTTTCTTCCAAGACTTGAAAGCTTTGGCTGCTGCAGCCACAGCCACATCAACATCCTTCTCATCAGCAGCATATACGGAACAATTGACCTCGCCAGTGGAAGGGTTATATGAATCTAAGGTTTCGCCCGAGATAGACTTGACAAATTCATTGTCAATAAACAAACCTGTTGGCTGTGTGTACTTGTTGCCGTCTGGCAAAGTAATGTCGATGTTCAAAGGGAGAGACATTTAGAAAAGAATGGGAAAGTTGATGAAATTTCCCTGGTTGGAACGGCTCTTGGTACTTATACCCCACCATAGTACGTTTCCCAATTAGGATACTAGATCCGGTTCGCCCTCTTTTTCGCGCATACTTTTTGACTGGGCACGTCAGCGATATTCGCGATAACAAACCCTCCAATCAGCGCAAATGCGCTGGCCAAAAACGTTCGCGGAACTGTTTCCCCGTTAGGAGCTAAATGAAAAAAAAAAAAAATAAAGATGCGCCCAATGTTCGAAACGGTGGAGCCAAATGTTCTATTTCCCTCCTTTGGTCCTGCATGTCTATAACGGTGGGACCGAAGCCGCTCATGCGATATGAATGCATCGCGCGTCTAGAATAGTGTATTCCTAACTACTTGTATTAGTAACCACAAACCCGGCATTTGAAGTCTACAGTTTCTGGATGTCGCTACTCAAAGAGCTCGAATCTTTAGGGATTCTGCTCGAAGAACACAATCCTCGTATTGTCATCTTCACCACTCAGATAGACACCAAAATCACCGACTTTTTGAACGATGACTACTGTTTTGAAGTGTGCATTCGCAATCTCTCTCTCCATGACCAACTCAAGGTCAGAAATGCTAAGACGGATCGCGTAAAACGACTTGTCTCGTTTCTTTTCACAAAGCTTGTCCTCAATTACTGTATCTATTTGCTGGGAGAGACAACTAGCTTTGACCCTTGGGGCACCCTTGAATTCGAGTACAACGAATTCGGGAAGCCTTCGCTCAAAAACTCCACGAGGTTCGTATTCAATTCGAGTAGTTCCAATAATATGATGGCCATTGCCGTCCAGTTCGACGCAGCAACAGCTATTGGCGTGGATCTTTCGCATGAAGTTCAAGAGTCCATCAGTCCCGTCCGTTTCATGGAGCAGTTTGAGGGCATTTTCAGTCAACGAGAAAGGGAGTGTCTATTGTCGGTTGCTGACTTGCAAAACCGCTACATCGCATTCAACCAGCTTTGGACATTGAAGGAAGCTTTCACAAAATACGTGGGATGTGGTTTGAATGTGGACCTCTCTACTTTTAGTTTCCATGCTCCTTTAGGTATGTTGAGCATGCAGAATTCCACAGAAGGAAATGGTTTCGTCTACCATTATGACATTGATTGGCAAACGGACATTTCTGTGGATTATCTGAACCTACCGAAGATTTATGCTCAAGCCATAGGAGAGCGGGAACTTGCGTGTTGCACTGGCGTTTTAAAGTCAGATACGGATCTTCCTGTGCTCATTTCGCTAGTGGGTGATTTTCTGGCGTCGCTGAATCCTTCCACAAATGTGCATTTGAACTTTTCCTCTATTCTCCGAGGTATAGTTGATTAACAAATACATACACGCGCGCGCTTTGAAAAGAGTATGCACTGGAAAAAATTCATTCATGTCCTTGTTATTCGAGAAACACGCCAAATACTTTGAACTATGTTCCCATTCTCTTCCATCGAAAGCACAGTCTGAGGATGCAAACAAATTGACACTCGTTTACTTTGTCCTTCATGGATTGGGTTTGATAGGGCAATTGAACAGAATTGGAGATACCACTCAACATATCGCAGACATTTACAAACAATTGATTCCTCTTCAAAATAAGGAGATGTTGGCATTTCGGTCCAGCCAAACGTTTGCGCTCGATCCCGGGCACAATGACTACGACCTCCCAAATCTCTCAGCCACATTTCTTGCATTGGCGATACTCTTACTGTTGAAGGAAGACTACTCCAAGACTTTGGATCGTCACAAAATCATGCGTTTTGTTAGCCAATGTCAAGTCAAGTCCGGCCCAGATAAAGGATCTTTTTGTCCTGTTTTAGATACCGACGGTAATCCGTGGGGTGAGACAGATCTAAGAATTTGTTACATGGCTACGCTGATTCGTAAGTTAGTGGGCTATGATCTTTTACCATCCTCAGAAAGAAAAAATGATATCAATTTGGATGAATTGAGGAAATTCATCCTTGACAAAGTAAATTACAACGGAGGGTTATCTTCTCGTTCGCACACAGAGTCACATTCGGGTCTCACGTTTTGTGGAATAGCTGCTCTAAAATTAATTGGTCATAACTTCTCTGGCCATGAAGACTGGGTTGAACTCACCAAGAAATGGTTGGTTCATCGACAAGTGGATTATCCGGAATGCTTATATGATGAACAAGAGTATGAGTACTATGACCATGAAGATATTGGAGGATTTAATGGGCGGGAAAATAAATTTGCTGACACGTGCTACTCTTGGTGGGTAGTTGGTCTGTTAAAGCTAATCGACACTGATGGAGTGGGTTTAATAAATGGAGATATGGTGGTGGATTATCTTTTGAACCACACGCAGCACAAACTAATAGGCGGCTTTGGAAAAGATACAGAGGCCTTCCCAGACCCTTTCCATTCATTTTTGGCGATGGCAAGCCTCTCGCTCATCAAATATAATAGCAATGTCACTTTCAGTGGTGACCAAGAGCTAGCGGAAATAGATCCTGAGCTAATCATCACCATGGATGCAAGGCGCTTTTTAGACCGTATTTGGTCATGATCGTTGTGCGGGCTACCGTTTTCTATTTTTTTCCCATTGCATTGGCCATTGTCTCAAAGAAATATTCACAGGCCTCAAGAAGTAGAAAAAGGCTGGTCTTTACATAGTGGCAGAAGCTGGAAGTTTACTCTAGACAGTGCAATTAACATTCACAATGGGACAGCTCTGTCTGCTCGTCTGTGTGGGTTCCAAAAGGGAATTTAGAACAATCGCACGCGAAGTTGAGGTTGCACAAGACAGTAAGCGAGAGAGAACGTCTGCTGGGACAAGTGGCAAGTAATTACTGGTAGAGTAAGGCTCATAGTTTTCAATGACTGGTTTCGGCTTCTCGACGCCCATATCTGACTTTTGTGAACAGGTGCTTGGTAGTCAAATAGTTTTCGTTCTTTTCTTTTTTGGGTCTTGGGCCTGTGAAATAGAATATACCTTGCATAGTGCATGCACTAATCACTGCACACAAATCAACCATTACGCAGTGGTGCTTAGTGGGCCAAAAGAACCACACCGTTTTTTCTTTTGTAGTGGTCCTTTTTCTTCTTACTTCATGACGGATGGGAACCAAAGGGAGCTGTTTCCAGCTACAGCAACCGTTCTGCCTGTGCGAGATAAAAAAATCCCTAGCACGGCCATCCACTTGGTTCTGGGTGGCACTGCCGGATTGGTTTCTGCAATCATGCTCCAGCCACTCGACTTATTGAAAACCAGACTACAGCAGCAGCAGAAAAACAATGCCTTCTACCGAACGAGTGTGCGCAAAGAGATTGGCAAATTGGCCAACATCAAAGACTTGTGGCGAGGTGTTCTTCCCTCCACGTTGAGGACTTCTATTGGGGCCGGACTTTACTTCACAATGCTTTCGCAAAGCCGAACGTACTTGGCCAGCCTCAAATCGACAAGTCAGGAATCACGCTCCAGTGTATTGCCCAAGCTTTCGCATGCGGAAAACATGGTCACAGGCTTTGTTGTTCGAGCTATGGTGGGAGTCATTACTATGCCCATTACCATTATAAAAACACGGTTTGAGTCAAGCGTTTACAGTTACAATTCCATGTACGAAGGGTTTCAAGGCATCTATTCTGATGGGGCAAGCACCGGAGGTTCTATGCGCAACTTTTTCAAGGGTACTGTTGCTACCATGGCCCGTGATTGCCCATACGCGGGACTCTATGTGTTGTTCTACGAAGGTTTCAAAAACGATGTTTTCCCAACGCTATTGACACTGGCGGGTGTTGCCCCAGCATACTTAGGGAGTGTCACCAACTCCGCTGCAGCCATAATGGCCGCTTCCGTTTCCACCACCATTACCGCCCCATTTGACGCTATTAAAACGCGCCTACAGTTGAAACTGGGCACTAGCAAGTCGCCGTCCATTTTGTCGGTAACACGAGAATTGGTTCTGGAACCTGGTGGAGTGCGTAACTTGTTCCGCGGGCTTTCGTTGCGGCTAGGAAGAAAAGGTGCGAGCGCTGGCATCAGCTGGTGTATATATGAAGAGTTGCTCAAGTTTTTGTGACGACACTCTAGACTCTGACTACTCTATGATGATTATAAGAGACGAAAAATCTGCATATGGCGTAGACTGGCGCAGCATATAAGCTTACTACAGAAGGTTATATAGCGAAATTTACAAGGCTAGCCAAGCCTGAGGACAATTGCAAGCCACACTGCAAAGAGTAGCCCTCTTAACCAGATAGATAAGTGCGTTGCAAGTTGCAGCGCACTTCGGAGTAATGGGCCCACACTGCAACGGTTGTAGTATACGCCCGCTTTTTCAACAATGCATAAAATCTGGAAACTGTGTAATTCTAAATCTTTTCAGAATTTGCATTTATGTTCGTTCTATCACACATGCTACTTGTAATTCTAGTCCAACGATCAATTGCCCCGCTGGTGGTGTACGGGTGTGTGTATGGCCGCGGACCAAAACTGGGGTAGAGTTGAGTCTTACTCTGACTTCAAGTGCTCCATGAACGAAGAATTGGTGGCTAGCGCCGTGAGCTTTTTAAGAGACCCTAATGTCTCAACATCGCCACTCGACAAAAAAATAGAGTTTCTACAGTCAAAGGGCTTGAACCAGGAGGAGATTGAAGAGGCCATGAAAAGAGCAAACGCCCCAACTTCTGGTGCTCCTGTTGCACTGGCAAGTCCCAGCACTCTGACATCTCCTGTGACATCTTACCATAACGTCCAAAATGCCCCTCCCTTGGACTACTACCCTTTGGCGCCTGCTGTCCCTGAAAGAACTTGGAAGGACTATTTTATTATGGCTACCGCCACTGCTGGAGTCACTTACGGCTTGTACCAGGTTGTATCACGGTATTTGATTCCTAGCATTATTCCTCCTGGCCAGTCTCGTATTAATGAGGACAAAGAGAAAATCGAAGAGGAGTTTGTGAAGATAGATAAAGCGCTCGAGCAAATGGCGTTGGAGCAGAAGGAAATCAAGGATGCTAACGAGGCCAAGTTGAAGGACATTGAGGTTGTTATTGAAAACGTGAACGATTTCTTGTCCAAGTATAACAAGGACAAATTGAAGTTTGACGACGATTTGCGTTTGATGAAGTTAGAGGTGGACAGCTTGCAAAACACCTTGGAGAAAAACTTGAACTTAACGAAGGAGAATATTCACGACGAGCTCTCAGACGTGTGTGACGAGTTGAAATCGTTGAAGAATCTTATTAAGGCCCGTTCTTCCGAAGCTCTGGGTGCGGAAAGGAAAGTGACCTCAGTGTCCTCAATCCCCTCCGCGTCAGAGATATTGAGAAAGGCAAAGCAGGGAACTTCTAATGACTCAAGTAACACAAAATCAGCTAGCCCGGTGGAAGTGCCAGCAGAAAACGGAAAGACAGAGACATCTGCAGCTCCGCAAGTGGCTTCTAATGTGTTTGCAGCAGGTATACCAGACTGGCAGCTTAAGCACAAGCAACAGGAAGAAGAAAATGAAAAGCAAAGTAAAATGGCTGGAATTCCTGCGTGGCAACAAGCAATGAAAGACTCAAGGCAAGCAGAGGACGATGTGGTGAAGGAATCAATCGACGCAGTGGGAGTTCCTGCGTGGCAGTTGAACAGCAAGTAGTTTACTATACCTCTTTATATATCTCGTGTATTATTGGAGATAATTGAAGCTAATAGTAGAGTATTATGTGTCTACTGGTTGTTCATGAGCTTTTACTTCATCGTGTTTTGCATTTTTTAAAGAAATCTGCGCAAAGTGTACACTTTCTGAATTATTGAGTTTACCTTCAAAATTTTGATTGTATACTTAGCATAAAAAGAATAGCATTGAAAGCAAATATTATCCCTTAGTATATCTTCAAACTTCGAGATTGTTGAAGAATCACGATGTATGGGCCATTTTTTGGAATGTTTCGTCTGTACTATCTTAACACCAGTACACCAGGTACCAAGATATAGAGTAAAGCGCTCTGTCTATACTTTAATCAACCATGGATTCGGAAATTTCGTTGAAGAAATTGATCAAGGTTTCCATCAAAAAGAAGAGCCCACCTAAGGTTTTTCTTGATCTCGTGAAACAATGGCTCGAGAAAGGAGACAGATCTGATAACGAAATCCTCGAATCTTTAATTGAGCTTCACCCATCTTTGATTTCGGAACAGGAGCAAAAGTCCCTCCAATTACATTATGCAATTCAACTTGCATGTTCTAGCCTAGATGAGCATCGGCGGTTCATGAAGTTGCTACCACAATCTACTCTTGACAGCCAACGTGATTACATTCTATACTTGAGGAATAACTTGAAGTCACTTTTCCTGGAGAATATGATGAGGGAATTCATCAACGGCACATTCGTGGAATATTCCAAAGGAATTTGTGAAAGAATGAGGCTGAATTTGAGTGCCACCTTGAAAAGGCTCTGGACGTACATCCTATTTTTATGGGGTACTATTATAGACCACTATGATAGCTTCATCACTGTGCCCGTTTTCAAAGATTTGGGAATACATATAGTAGGCACTTTGAAGGACCTAGGAGACTCAAATATGTTAGCATACTTTTCTAACAAGGCCAATTCTATCCTAAACCCCTCAGAACTTCACAAAGATGTTCATTTGCCAATTGCAACGCAGAAGCACAAAACCGAAGTACCATCGATTGCCTCCATGAAAAGAGCCTTAGCACTTAATGGGTCCTCGAAGAAAATTCAGCATTATTTCAAGTTCAAAAGGTTCATTTGGTTAAACTCGCGTTTTCGCTTGTGGGAACTGAACGATGTGGTTGAAAAGTACTTTCTGTTTTTCAAAATACTGACACAGAAAATTGAAGATGTAATAAAGGAGATCTTCAGTGCCTTCTTTGGTGGTATAACGACCGCCATCCATCTGCACGAAGATGCATTTGTCATTTTCAACTGGAAAACCTTCATTGTCAGCAGATTACCCCAAGTACTAAAAGAGTCAAAAGTGGTGCACAATCAAACCATACCAGAAAATATCGAAAAAATGATTCTATCAGAAATGCATCAATACAATGACGAGGTAATAACAAAAATGACTGTCGGAGGGATGAAGGACAAGCCCTTTGACTTGAGGAAACAATTTCTCAAAAGCTGTGTTTACACTCGTGTCATTTCGTTAGATGCTATGCTTAAGATCTTTCCTGAGGAGACCGAAAATGTGTCACCAGCATTGATCACCCACGAACGAGAGCAACTAGCACACGTTGAAAGCTTGAGCAGCGACATCAACAGTCGTTTATTGGACATAAACACAGAGTTGACCTCGCTCGAAGAAAGTAAACTTATAGAGACCTTTCAAAACATCCCTTCCAGCAATATAATATTTCTGATTATGAAGCAACAACAGTTGTGCAAGCTGACACATCGCGCTATTGACGTTCTCATCCGGGAAAAAAGTTGTGAGAAGTTAAGTCGCTTGATTTTAGCTCTTGCAAACGTGTTACCTGTGGCCAATTATATTTTTTACAACGATGAAAAAGGGCCTTGGGGAATTTTGGACAAGTTGATTTCGTTTCTCGATGGGGAAAGCTTTGGAGTTGATGCAGACGATAGTAGCTTCCAAGACACATATGCACATTTCGGGATTCTTTTAGCGGGCGTTATTTTGCTCACTTCCAACTTTGGCATTGACTTTGACAATGTGTGCATTGAAACCTCGTACACGGTAACATACATAAACCGAATTTTTTTCAGACTGGCTGGAGATATGACTGATCGCTTTGAAGGAGAGGATGAGCAAGAAAAAAATATCGTGCAAAACTATTACAATTTGATGGGCGCCTGGCTCAATGCCCTTTTCGACGTCAACAACGAAGGTTTATCAGACGATTTGATTAAATCTGTCGGCGTTAAGCAGATTTACAAATGATCCGAA